CTATACTATACTATACTATACTATACTATACTATACTATACTATACTATACTATACTATACTATACTACTACTATACTATACTATACTATACTACTACATCGTGAATGATCGCAAAATAGGCCCCAGGTGCTACTAAAACCAATTTGTATAACCAATTGGTATGTAATACACAAATTCGCAATCAGCTTAAATCACCTTGCGATATACTTGTAGTCGCAGACTATTAAACCCGTCGAGAGAAGGCGCCAGTTGATTGCTAATCATGCTAGAGGTGCTCAGGCGTCCACTGACCATGTGATAGAGCAATAGCTTACGTAACTGAGCTCTGTCCACCTTTAGTAGTGTCATGATATCGACACCAAACTCTGGAAGAAAGTTATATTTACTTTATAAAAATGAAATAAACAGATCGCACGGAAATATAAAGATGATTACGATGACTAATCTAAAATGAGACAGGTTGATCAAATAGTCCGCAGCAGGATGACGTAACGATGTAATTAGCAAGTATTTTGGTATCTCTCACCGTCCCATGCTTTGTTGGTCGGTATGAACAGCGTGTATATCCCCATTGCCTCCAGGGGACCCTCCAGGTTAGCGAGGGCGATGTACTCGCGGAAGCGAGACAGACCCAAGTCGTCAGCATTCTCCAGCACAGACTTAACTGTGATTGACAACGGAAATACTCGTAAAAAGGCATCATTACTCGTTTTAAAGAGAATATGTTTAACAGTTAACGATATATTCTTATAATCTTCACTGCAGCCGGATAATGAAACAGGCAACATCTTTGCAAATGTTTTTGAGCTGTTCACGTGTATTCGTTTCAACAGTTTTCAATTAAGTAAAGTTTTTATCGTGAGTTAATTTCGTCACTGCCATTACCATGATAAAAACAGATATCATAATGAATACGTCCAAGCGTGCTAAAGTTCTTTCTCTCATTGTCATTGAATTAACATCACGCAATTATCTGGCTATTATTTCTCAAGTTGTTAAAGTGGGGGTTTAAATTCTATGACCATTAGTGCATGCGGCAAAAACAAGCAAGCTTGGGATTCCTACATAATCGTTACGAGTAGTAATGCAGCAAAAACCACGGGATGCATGACTACCTTCAGTCGGCACCATGGCCGCCGAGATTCCGTGAACAACTCCGTTTTCTGCCACCAGGTCGGCGTTCGTGATGCGGCCGTCGCCGACGTATATCACGTCGTCTGCTCTGCGTACGATGTCGATGGTGCCTCCATGTTGGTTCGGCAGCTGCACGGGGCCGACGATGGCGGCACCACACACCATGTTGGCGACGACGTGGGTCTGGATGAACGCTGCATTGAGGAGGAATAACGAACAATGCGTTACGCCGCGAATCGTCGCCAATCGCATCTCAGACATATAATTCTTTTATAAAGCTTTTTCCAAATCTGATTAAATACAATTTATGTCAGGATAGGCACGCCCCGTGTTTGCTTAAGGCGTGCGTGCGTGCGTGCGTGCGTGCGTGTGTGCAAACCCTAGACAGACGAACAGTCGGATAGACGGACAAGCAAACAGATAGCTAGTCGAAGAGCCAGCTAGATTGAGCGAGAGACCGGCAACGGTATGAAATACGATACGTTAGCGAGAGAACAAACTTTATATGTAACATTACACATGCAGATCATTTCACTAATATAAGCTTTTCACTAGATCACTCGCTTTGCTCACCTTTCGCTGCTGCTGCGTCGTTGAGTATGTGTCTGAGCACGTTGTCAGGTATGCGTCTGAAAGCCTCATCAACAGGTGTGAATACTGTGATTGGGCCGTCACCTGCCAGCATCGGTGACAGACCCGAAGTCGCTGAAATAGGTAGACCGTGTAGAGAGACAGCAGAAAGTATCGCTAGATATTAAGACGTGTTCGCACTATAGATAATATATAACTTGAACACTATTCTCGCAGAACTCGTGACAATGAAAGCTTCTTGGGTACATGTCGTCAGAGCAGTTGGTGTAGATTTGATTGAATAAAATTGTGTCTGTGTCTCTGTCTGTCCGTCCGTCCGTCCGTCCGTCGATCCCCCCCGCCCCGCCTGTCTGTCTGTCTGCCTTCCCATCCGTTCGTTCGTCCGTCAGTCCGTCCGTCCGTCCGCCTGCCCGTCCGTCCGTCTGTCCGCCTGCCCGTCCGTCCGTCCGTCCGTCTGTCAGTCCGTCCGTCCGCCCGCCGGTTCGTCGGTCCATCTGTTCGTCCGCCCGCCCGCCCGCCTGTTCGTCCGTCCGTCCATCCGTCAGTCCGTCCGTCCGTCCGCCTGCCCGTCCGTCCGTCTGTCAGTCCGTCCGTCCGCCCATCCGTCCATCCGTTCGTTCATCCATCCGTCCGTCTGTCCGTTTGCCTGCCAGTCCGTCCGTCCGTCCGTCTGCCTGTCAGTCCGTCCGTCCGTCCGTCCGTCCGTCCGTCCGTCCGTCCGTCAGTCCGTCCGTCCACCCGCCCGCCTGCCCGTTCGTCCATCCGTCCGTCAGTCCGTCCGTCAGTCCGTCCGTCCACCCGCCCGCCTGCCCGTTCGTCCATCCGTTGTGGGCGGCGATGGAGGCGCCTGCTGCGGCGCCAGCGTCAGGACGACGACGAGGATGTGCTGGGGCACCGGAGCGGTGCGCTGGGGCGCCGGAGCGGTGCGTTGGGCTGCCATGTTCTAGACAAATGCACGCGTTACGAGGGCAATTTTATAGCGTACACAAACGAATGTGTGTAAAAAAGGTAAACTAGTTCGAGCATACGTTAGCCTATAGAACAAAATGATCGTCGCACTTACGTGAACATTGCAGAGTGGAGACGCTCTGTCCGACGGCGCGTGCAGTAGATTACGTGCGTCTCTGGGCAAACAGGTGACGTTGATCGCGGTACAACTCGTGCTTAGAGAGAAAAACAGATATTGGAACTCATACGATACTAGATAGCAGATACTATACCGATACTAGAAACGTGGCTACCCACGCAAGTATTGCCACTACCGAACCAAACCGCGGGTCACTGCACCAATCTAGGGACGCCGTTCAGCTTCCCGCTCCCCAGGCTCTACGGTTTGGTAGGTGCGCCCGTGGCACCCGTTCCGTAGGGTAGTGACAGGTTGCGTGGATAGCGCCCGCGATAGGTAGATAAGAGGTGACGGATAAATAACACGAACTCAGAAATGGAATACTACTCTCCGCTATTTCTATTGCCGGTTCGTGTTTAGAATAAACCCAGTTTGGAAGTTCTAGTCTCGAAAAACGCTCCATAAAACCGCCCTGAGTGAATAACTCAGGGGCTCCTCCAAAGAAATGAATAGACTCGCGTTGTAACCCTACTCTTGTTGGGTTACATTATTGTATCTATAGTAAACATAGAGATAGAACTAGACATTGCATTACATATAATTTATACTAAATTATGACGTGTACTGATATATTGACTATTGAGTATTGTATAGTCAATCAATGTACAATGTTGATTTCAAAGTTGAACAGTACACAAGGGTTAAGACTGTCAAGTTCAATTTTAATACTGCACTAATCAGTACTTAGACCTAATGAGTAATTAGTAATGTAATGACAGTGCTCGAAATAAGCGTTGTCCGGTTGTCCGAGACAACCAGAATTTGCACCGGACAACCTAACCAGTCTGAGACATTGTCCGGTGGACAACCAAGAAACCCTATCTCTAACCCTTACACTAACTCTAAACCGACTCGGCTATCTTATATACGCGTGGTACCCAATTAATCTATGGTGTATAACCTTTTGCTTTCAATATTTTGCATCTGAACTGACAATCAATCCCATGCAACCAACTGGTATAGGCTAGCTGGCACAATAATGTTC